GAGTCAATAACAACCTGCGTGAATTAATGACGCTTATAAGATCAGATAATCAAAAAAAGGTGCAAGATTTTCTTTCAATAAAATCTATTCATTCGCATTTCTCACCCCCGAGATCTCCTCATTTCGGTGGTTTGTGGGAAGCAGCCGTTAAGGCATTTAAATATCATTTAAAAAGAGTGGTCGGTCCTGACATCCTACTTCACCTAGAACAATTTAATACGCTGATTATCGAGATCGAAGCTATACTGAATTCACGCCCTTTAACCCCTATATCCTCTGATCCTCAAGGCTTACTAGTTCAAACACCCAGCCACTTCCTAACGGACAGTGGTACATTGTCTGCCGATAACGACTCTTCTACCTGGCGCTGATTTATCATGTGGTAAACTGTCTCCCGGATACACGACGAACGGCTCTTTGCGATATAGTCAACTGTCTCCCACACCTTTAAACGTATAAGCATAGAAAGTCGACAAGGTCCCTTAACATTTTTTGATTCTGTTCGGTATTCACCGTATAATATTAAGTTTTATGTTTATCTATTGTTGGAAGTAAAATTTTGTTAAATTGTCAATGTTTAATATAGCGTAGCAACCCCTTTCAGTATTAACCTTTTTAATTTATAGTATGTGTAAAATAAAGCCTCTTGTTCGTTAATTTTAACTTTTTTTTTATAATATTCGTTATTTTTAGTTTCTTAGTGAGTTTCATTTTAGATAGATTTATAGCTTTTTTGTGTAGTATACTTGGACCCTTTAGTGTCATTTGCTAGGCTAGGATTAGTAGTATTGAACTTAAATTTATTGTTTTATTAGGATAGCTACAAAATAAGAAGCACGTTTTCGAGTGCCATTATTTGTTTCCATTGTATATATATTCGTCGAGTCAGTTTTGCAAGAAAAAGTTTTGTTTGTTTGTATACTCGACCTTTTTTGTGTATGATAAGAGTGGGGTGGTTTCTGTCAACTATTCCTAATAAAAGGGGTTGCAACGGTTCATTTAGAGAGATTAAGAACTAGAGAGAAAAGAGAGAAATTTATTTTTTAGTTAAGATTAGCCAATTTAATTTCCTTTATACGTTTTTTATAAGTTTAAGTACACACATTCAATTTGTATATATGTGAATAAATAGTTAATTTAAAATCAAGTCTATTTACTACCTAATAAGCAATAACTAGTTCGCTCGCCATTAATTTAGCGTGCGACATGAGGATAAAAGAAAGTTACCCTTCAAAGTAATACAAAAATTTCCTCAAGAACAAACATCAATAATTCTATTGAACAATTTTGGAGTATTGAACATGTTAATGACATTTCTTACAAAAAAACAATTGACTAATGACGAAGTATATTGTAAAAACGCATTTTACCAAAACAACATCAAGAGACACTACAGGTCGTTTTATAGTTAGTTTACCACTTAAGTCGGATCCATCAGCTTTAGGCGATTCAAAACAATTAGCCATCAAAAGATTTTATGCATTAGAGCGTCGATTAGATCGTGATTCTACATCAAAGGCTGAATATTCCGAATTCTTAAGGGAATATTTACAGTTAGGTCATATGTCGTTAATAAAAGGG